ATATCTTAAACATATTTATTATTTATGTTATTTCTTTACCACTGCTATACACTCTGCACTCTGTCTCACAGCTTTTTCGTAACGCTGTAAGTACCACTAACAATACTTGTTTGAAATAGGTATAGGGAGCTGGACTAGAAGACCTCCAAGGTCCCTTCCAGCTCTATTCTGTTGTGTTCTGTTCTGCTCTGCTCTGTTCTGTTGTGTTCTGTTCTCTGTGCTCATCACAGAGTTTGTAAAAATGTCTATCCCATGTTTCTTCTAATAACATGTTTAGCATCCTGCACAGGGGTCATCCTTAGAAACATTTTTACATGTTTTTGAATTGCATAGAAGAAGAATCAGAGCTGGCTACAACCTCCCTGATAGACCTGTACATAAAAGAGATGTCTACATTGGTTTAAAAAATCAGCAAATTGTCCAAAGCCAGCAGAAGCTTCCCGGTAAGTGGTAGTAATTGGTCTTACAGAGTCAAATCCCACACAGAGTTAAGTGTGATATATTGTTACCACAATGGAGAATTGAACGGTTTACATTTAGACTTTACTGTCAGTATCACATTTCAGTCATAGATTCACCTGATATTAGCATCTCACTATTAATGTAGTTCCCTCTCACTAAATTTGGTTTTACAGAAAAGCAAAAGTTTGTTCTGAAAGCAAGCATAACCACTAAAATATCACAATGATTTTTACCTTGACGATTAAAGCAAAATTGTTCACAACTATTTGAATGAAACAGATTAGAACGAACTACTTAGGATATGATCCTACCACCATTTTTGCATGGATAACTCTCATCAATTTCATTGGAATTCTTGCATCAGTAACTTATATACAGAAGTGCAACCTAAGGATATAAATGCTAAGCATAAGTTCATTGGCAGGACATGTTTCTTTGAGGAAAATGTCTGTTATAAATGTATTTTTAGGTATTTATTCCATCTTTATAATCAGTTTTCGATTTCTTAAAATATAGTTGAGAGACCCAGTAGATAAAAAGAAAAACAAAGAAACATTCAGCTTTGTTTTAGCAATATAAAAAAGGAGCTTCTGGAAAATTACAAGTATGAAATAATAGCCTGGGAAAGAATGGATTGTCCAGGTGTCTAATCTTCTTAATAAAAATGATCTACTCTTCCCAGTCCACCTGCCTCTCACAAATAAACAACTTTAAGCATCTGGCTGTGCTTGCATAATTGTTCAGAGCAATCCTGGTTAAAATTTACTTTCTAGGTGTGCCTGTGCTCATGTATAAAAAGAATTATACATCTCTATATAACATGGTGAACCTTAGGGTTCAGAGGTCTGTTAAACACTCAGCTGCATGTTACTCTAACTGCAAGATCACTAAACACTTAGCTGTAGCAGAAGCAAAGTCAGTTATTGCTGTAACCATTGTACTGTTACCTGACGCAGATTCCTGGTTACTTTCACATCATGCCAGGCATTGTCATTAAATTTCCCATTCACAGGTTCCACCAGTGCTTCAAAGGCCCCTGAGCCCAGATTAATTACTAAGGAGACAGCTCCATTTTTCAGGGCAAGGTTGACATAATCAGCTGATTTCCCAGTGTGAAGCATTAGTCCATTCCTCTGTAGAGTTTTAAAGGACAGAGTTATTTCATCACTGCTGCTTTGAATAGGATTCTGTGAGAGGTCATAGCAGAAATACTCTGATCCTTTGAATGTTGCAATGTATTCTTCTTTTCCTAAATAAACAAGAAAAGAGAAAATCTTTGTAATTAGTTGATTCTTGCACATATAAGAATGAAAACACAATAATCACATAAATTAAACATTTTTTCCTAATGTAAGAATCGTAAGGATTCTTGTATTCAGTAAGGTTATTCCTTACTGAAATAAAAATTAACAATTACTTAATTCTGTTTTGTTGAGGACCCCTGGTTGAAGAAAACTGGTATATAGGTTTTAAAATAAATTAAGAATTCTTCAGCAAAGCCTGCAGCCCAATTTATTTTACATTTGGTAAAACTGCAATATTACTGTTATTACTATATGTTGTCATTATTGCTATACATATTTATGTATTGTAAAGACATTTTGAAGCACTGTGCATCTTCAAATTAAGGAATAAATAATTCAAATACAAACAAATTATAGACTTAAACATTTGGATAAAATGAGAGATCTCAAATGGTTATTAAAAACAAGTAATAGGTGGAAGAAAGGATAACAAAGAATGTATGGTACAACATACAGAACATCCTTGCATGGCTTGGCACATCACTTATCTGAAAGTCCATCTGAAAATAAAATATCTCTAGATAAGAGTTCTCTGTCCCATATATATATATATATATATATATATATATATATATATATATATACACACATACAGAAAGGGTACAGAAAAGGGTGTGGCTAGCTGATAAGAGCATAATGAGCTGGAAATAGCTATTCTAGTCTCCCACTTAATTTTTTTAACTCTTTGTCAGCAAAAACAAATCTGAATATATATATCAGCTATGCAAGTAAAAATATGACTCTTGGGTATGTTCATATTAAAATCAATAAATAGTTGAACACCAAGAGAATAAAATTATACAAAAGTTAAAAATGTTAAAACTTTTATTTACTAAACCTAGCTTTCGTCAAGAGCTCTTGACATCATCAGGGTGTAAACGGCAGTCAAGAGCTCTTGACAAAAGCTAGGTTTAGTAAATAAAAGTTTTAACATTTTTAACTTTTGTATAATTTTATTCTCTTGGTGTTCAACTATTTATTGATTTTAATATATATATATATATATATATATATATATATATATATATATATATATATATATATATATATAAAGCTTAAGAGAAGTTGGGGAAATCCTCATGGCTCTCTGAGGATGAAATGATTAAATACATCATCATAGTGACTCTACTTTAGATTTATCAGACCCTAGATCCCAGAGATATAGATAGCAGCTTGTCAGAGTGGATGGTACCATGCCATCTATCAGCATTGTAATTGTTAGGTGCAAACAATGAGATCCACACATGATTTCAATTAGTTATTGCTCATGCCTATACCACAGGAATCTTCTCAGACTGGCTGAGCCAGACTAATTAAGGTTCAACAGGATTCAAAGTGGGATGGACCTTGCCTTCTTATACCTATGTAGAGATTCCAGAATAATTTCTCACTTGACTCCTCTTCCTAGTTTGGAAGTCTGTCCTCCAACAGTAATAATCATTGTGGAGTCATCCATGTTTTGGATCAAGCTCTAGCACTGGCTAACAGTGGATGTGATAGGAGTATCTAATGCGCTTTTTAGCTGAACTATTGCCAAAATATCTTCTATTTGACTCCCTTGGGTGAGTTGGCAAGCAGAGCTCTCTCTCTCTCTTTTGTGTGTGTGTGTGTGTGCGTGTGTGTGTGTGCTTGTGTGTGTGTGTAGGCAAGGAGTTTATATTTTTATAGAGGAAAGTTGATATGTCCATTGCAGAATAGAAATTAGAAAATTGCTCTTGTTTATAAAATATTGTTCTACTATTCATTGTCCATTTACTGAAAGACTATCATTAATGTTGAGATATGAATATATCTATTTCTTTTAACATTGATTTTCTTCATGTATATTTTTTTCTAGTAATCTATTACAAGAAAAAAGCAACAATTAGGACTGCATTAATTCTAAGCTGCAAAATATTGAAGCCAAATCCTGACTGAGATTTTTTTTTCATTATTTAGTAAAAGAGGATAAAATGAGATGAACTGAATCAGCAGACAAAACAAGGGCTAATATGACTACTTTGACAAGAGATGAAATACATTTATGACAGATAAAGTGGTTAATATTAATTCTGATAGTTACATAATTTGAGCTTCAAAAATAACTATGACTCTAAAAATTAGAAAACGTGAGCAATAGATACTATTATACTCATACCATGCTTGTGTATTTTTCATAGATATCTGACAACTCAATGTGGGAAAAATGTAAGACTGAACAGATAGGGCTTCAAAAGTTTTGAACAGAGTTTTTTGATTAATGTCATCATTTGGATTTTAATTTTGAATAATAATGTCTTTGAGAAGACATTTTACAGTTTATTTAGACACATTGAATGCACTTGCTCATTTTGATCCTGTAGGGATTAGACTGATTTTTTTTTTCACTGGTAATAAACTCAAATTATGTTCTATGGTCATTCTACCTATAAATCAAAATATGAGATTACATTCTCTCATTTAGCAATAAAGAGATTACCTTCTCTCATTTAGCAATAAAGAATTTTTCTATACCAATGTTAATTGGACTTATAATGGATTTCCAAAATTTTCAGCTATTGTTCATTTTAAGTTAGCACAAAACTCTCTCATATAATGAAGGATTTGTTTTGCAGTAACATATCACATTATTGGGGAATGCAGCTGACGTCTGTCACAGGCTCTTGAAATCCATCTTAAAATTAATAGAAGATTGCAGAAATGATGATGTGTGAGTATTAAAAACAGACTTCCTATATTGGGAGTTTGTTTTATAAAAAATAGGAGAAAATGGAGGAATATCTCCTCAAAACATGGTCCCATCTTTATTATGAATAGGGGACTATTTCTGCTTTTTATTCTTTGCTAATACTTTTATAAAATTATTTTAACATGCTGTTAGCATCCAGTGTGTCATTCCTAAAAGGACAAGGAGTGACATGATAGCAGTGTTCTAATATATCAGGGGCTGCCACAAAGAAGAGGGGTCAACCTATTTTCCAAAGCACCTGAAGGCAGGACAAGAAGCAGTGGAAGGAAACTAATCAAGGGAGATCTAACTTAGAAATAAGGAAAAATCTCCTCACAGTTACAACAATTAATCAGTGGAATGATTTGCCTCCAGAAATTATGGGTGCTCCATCACTGAAGTTTTTTTAAGAAGAGATTGGGCAGCCATTTGTATGAAATGGTATAACTCTGTTATTCTGAATTCTTATTCCTTAGGTTTATATTGCTTCTTCTGGATCAGTATCTCAGTGGATTATGCACTCATAGAATATGTCTTTGGTAATAGATTTCCATTTCCTTAAAGTATTAAAATAAGGTTTTATGTGTTGCAATGCCACAGTGTATTATTAAAAAAACCTTCCATCTTGTTCATTAATAGTCAGCTCATGGAATACAACAAAGTCATCCTTCCTTTCACCTAATCTATTATCTTTCTGTACTACTATTAAACTTGGCTTTTGCAAAGTGCACCTTAAACCAACGACTGACTAACTTTTATTATTCTTAATATTTTCTTCTGTACATGAAGAAAGCATGTGCATGATGCATGTTTTGCATATTTTTTGCATGTGGAAATACAGACCTCTGGGTAGCTGATGCATCTATCTTATCATTGAATTTAGTTCTAAAATATATACTGTATATCTCAAGGTGAATGAAGCTGTAATGTGAAATACAATAGCAGTAGCAATAGATGCTGTTCTATGAATCAAATAGGCCAACTACTTTTATTTATGACAAGCCTAGTAAATGAGAAGCACAACTGCTGTGAGATGAAATAATTAAAAAATTATTTATGGTGTAATGACCATTCATTCTACTCTCTATTTTTTAATGATCACTATAGAGATATTTGTTAGACATCAGAGAAAACTAGGAAAAACTTCCAAACTATTGCAGTTGTCTCCTTTTGGGGCTGGTGATACCAGTGGAATTTTAAAAGCATGTTATATATAGTCTATTGCTAAGTTTAATTAAATGCTACCTAACATTAATGAAATGTAATGTAACATTAACATTCCCTTCTATAGGAAGAGATCCCTGTTTTTCCCCCCCCCCCCTAAACAAGAAGGTTGCTGCTGTTCCTTGTTTTTATTTTCTAAGCTAAGAAAGCTCAATATGGAGATTTGGAGGTCAGAAGCATTCCTGAAAATAAAGATGATGTCAGAGGTTGGTGTTTTGCTTCATAATATGCCTCTCTCTCTCTCTCTCTCTCTCTCTCTCTCTCTCTCTCTCTCTCTCTCTCTCTCTCTCTCTCTCTCTCTCTCTCTCTCAGATGAAAAGTTTAAATGGGGCAGAGTTACTTGTTGAAATGGGCAACCATAAAAATTGAATAAAGCAAGCAACCAAGCATACTGGATAACAAGGTAGAAATCTGTGAGCATATTGGCATCCCCATCAGACCAAGTTCTATAGAACTAAAAAGAAAGAAGAGATATTCTAGTAATCTCACAGCACTGTATTTAATATAGCCATTTCAAGTCACATCATGAGTTTAGACAGTTGTTAAATGAGCAATTGTGAGACAGCTGGCAAATGACGTTATATTTGCTATTTCAGTCATAAAGCAGCTTGAATCATATATGTTCCTTTCAATGAACTAGATTTTATTGCTTTTTGTTGCCTGGAAGAAATCTTTCCCTGACTTCAGTTACAAAACTGTGGTGATGTGTTTGTGCATCTGCAGGAGTCCCTTGACAGCTTCCCACCAACCAATTCTGGAAAATATTTTTAGGGAGGATAATGACAGGAGAATATAGTACATGAGTTCAGGACACAAAATAACAAGCCAGGAAGTATTTGGTTAGTTTTATTTATAATCATTTTATATTGTACTGTTATTGTCTATTGTAAAGTGTTCTGAATCTTGTTAGATTAAGTGACAGTAAGCAGGGCAATCAAAGAATCACCAAGACCACCAACAAAAACACTGACAGGGCAAGCCCCTACAATATAAAATGAGAGAAAAACCCACTCC